TGGCAAAACCCTAGTTGGCAATCACAGAGGTCAGACGTTTCTTGTAGTTGGCCACCAGGTTTGCACACATCTCAGGAGGGATTTTGTCCCACTCTCCTTTGCAGATATTCTCCAAGTCATTAAAGTTTCGAGGCTGACGTTTGGCAACTCGAACCTTCAGCTCCTTCCACAGATTTTCTATGGGATTATGGTCTGGAGACTGGCTAGGCCACTCCAGGACCTTAATGTGCTTCTTCTTGAGCCACTCCTTTGTTGCCTTGGCCGTGTGTTTTGGGTCATTGTCATGCTGGAATACCCATCCACGACCCATTTTCAATGCCCTGGCTGAGAGGAGGTTCTCACCCAAGATTTGACGGTACATGGCCCCGTCCATCGTCCCTTTGATGCGGTGAAGTTGTCCTGTCCCCTTAGCAGAAAAACACACCCAAAGCATAATGTTTCCACCTCCATGTTTGACGGTGGGGATGGTGTTCTTGGGGTCATAGGCTGCATTCCTCCTCCTCCAAACACGGCGAGTTGAGTTGATGCCAAAGAGCACCATTTTGGTCTCATCTGACCACAACACTTTCACCCAGTTGTCCTCTGAATCATTCAGTACTTGGCCATTTTTCAAAGTATAACTCAAATATTAACTTGCTGAGGCTGGACTTATGTTTAAACGCCATATGTGCATCTTGTTGTATTGTACACAGCATACACGTGTAAATTAATTAACATAGCTCAGAATTAATTTCACGATATGGGGTTTGTGGTGTATGCTGTTGTGTTTCTGCACGGTTTAATTAAATGTGTTTGGCAGATGTACGAATCGTCAACAAAGGGACTCCAAAAACAAACCGCTTGCCTTTTTTCTCCTTGCTGTAGGGCATGGTAAAGGACCACAATTGAGCAATCGCATCTGGATTTTGTTTACAAAATAACAGCGTGTTGTTTCAGGCAGATGGCTGTTTATACAGTGACGTTGCACAGGCATAAAACAACCCTGGCAAATGTGCATTAAACACTGCGCATCCTGCAAATATTTCACATTTATACGCCTGTAACGGCTCGGATTAGTCCGCATTATCTGATACTAAAACTAAACATTTTTATTTAATTTTACCAGGTAAGGTCCACTGAACTACAGTGAGGCAAAAAAGTATTTGATTCCCTGCTGATTTTGGACGTTTGCCCACTGACAAAGAAATGATCAGTCTATAATTTTACTGGTTGGTTTATTTGAACAGTGAGAGACAGAACAACAACAAGAAAATCCAGCAAAACGCATGTCAAAAATGTTATAAATTGATTTGCATTTTAATGAGGGAAATATGTATTTGACCCCTCTGCAAAACATGGCTTAGTACTTGGTGGCAAAACCCTAGTTGGCAATCACAGAGGTCAGACGTTTCTTGTAGTTGGCCACCAGGTTTGCACACATCTCAGGAGGGATTTTGTCCCACTCTCCTTTGCAGATATTCTCCAAGTCATTAAAGTTTCGAGGCTGACGTTTGGCAACTCGAACCTTCAGCTCCTTCCACAGATTTTCTATGGGATTATGGTCTGGAGACTGGCTAGGCCACTCCAGGACCTTAATGTGCTTCTTCTTGAGCCACTCCTTTGTTGCCTTGGCCGTGTGTTTTGGGTCATTGTCATGCTGGAATACCCATCCACGACCCATTTTCAATGCCCTGGCTGAGAGGAGGTTCTCACCCAAGATTTGACGGTACATGGCCCCGTCCATCGTCCCTTTGATGCGGTGAAGTTGTCCTGTCCCCTTAGCAGAAAAACACACCCAAAGCATAATGTTTCCACCTCCATGTTTGACGGTGGGGATGGTGTTCTTGGGGTCATAGGCTGCATTCCTCCTCCTCCAAACACGGCGAGTTGAGTTGATGCCAAAGAGCACCATTTTGGTCTCATCTGACCACAACACTTTCACCCAGTTGTCCTCTGAATCATTCAGATGTTAATTTGCAAACTTCAGACGGGCATGTATATGTGCTTTCTTGAGCAGGGGGACCTTGCAGGCGCTGCAGGATTTCAGTCCTTCACGGCGTAGTGTGTTACCAATTGTTTTCTTGGTGACTATGGTCCCAGCTGCCTTGAGATCATTGACAAGATCCTCCCGTGTAGTTCTGGGCTGATTCCTCACCGTTCTCATGATCATTGCAACTGCACGAGGTGAGATCTTACATGGAGCCCCTGGCCGAGGGAGATTGACAGTTCTTTTGTGTTTCTTCCATTTGCGAATAATCGCACCAACTGTTATCACCTTCTCACCAAGCTGCTTGGCAATGGTCTTGTAGCCCATTCCAGCCTTGTGTAGATCTACAATCTTGTCCCTGACATCCTTGCAGAGCTCTTTGGTCTTGACCATGGTGAAGAGTTTGGAATCTGATTGATTGCTTCTGTGGATAGGTGTCTTTTATACAGGTAACAAGCTGATATTAGGAGCAGCTCCCTTTAAGAGTGTACTCCTAATCTCAGCTCGTCACCTGTATAAAAGACACCTGGGAGCCAGAAATCTTTCTGATTGAGAGGGGGTCAAATACGTATTTCCCTCATTAAAATGCAAATCAATTTATAACATTTTTGACATGCGTTTTTCTTCATTTTGTTGTTGTTATTCTGTCTCTCACTGTTCAAATAAACCTACCATTAAAATGATAGACTGATCATTTCTTTGTCAGTGGGCAAATGTAAAAAATCAGCAGGGGATCAAATACTTTTTTCCCTCACTGTATATAGCTATTTCTCAGGAGCGACCTGGCCACAAATGATAGCTCAACGTAGTGGCTTATCAGGTGGAAATTTACAGCAGTCAAATACTCTAAACGCATGTTAATTATTAATGTGGAGGAAAAAAAACGAGCGGACCCAGAGAAAAAATCCACGCAACATGCCAACTGCAAATATACAGGCGTCGAACCTATGACCTGTATACCAGGCGAGACCATGAACATCTCGCCACCACGGCGAGATGTTAGCGCTGGGTACAGCAGGGGGTTAGCACTCTGGGAGGTCCATAAGCTTCCAGAGGTTCTCACTGCTGGCCATGGTGAGTTCAGGGGTGGACCTTGACCAGTTGTGACGTTTCAGTGATCACTGGCTAAGTGAGCTCAGAGGCCCAGAAATCAATGGCCCTGGGCCATTCCAGCTCAGAATATTGACCTTGTGACCAAACTCTGGGAGCCATGTGGATTTGATGGCTCCCAGAGCCTTCCCGTTGTATATCTTTTTTTAGTTTTTCAAGCAAACAAAAAAACAGCCTGAAACACAAGTTAGATGGTGTTTTTTTAATATATAGGAATGCCACTGACCAGTCATCTTATACCCATCGTGAAGTGTGGTATGCTGTTCGAGAACGACCAGGGTAGTGTTATTGGTGATTGTGTGTTTATTTGCTTAACTCGCTTTTTGGTTGTGTGAAAAATCAAATTTTGGAAACCTTTATCAAATTTCCAAAAATAATTTTAACAATATGTATTGTGCGGCGTGTCGTTTTGAAGATAATAACCGAAAGTGCTATAAAAATGCAGATTATTCAGAGGCAAAGCCAATGGCTCTTTACATACGCGAAACTTTATGCAGAATCGCCATCCCAGCGTAGATGAAGATTTGTATTTCGCCTGGGTACGTCCGACACCACGCTATTTTATGAGCATTTCTTCCTCATCAACACCACACAAGTGCATAAGTAAATGAAACAAAAAAAATGGTGAGCATCAATGTGCATATGAGGGATGGTGTGGAAGGCCTTCATCCAGCAGCGGGTAGACACTGACTTTTGATGATGATGATCAAAACTTAAAGGTATTTCTAGTAAACAGCTATTTCTAGTTGTTTACCAAACAATGCTGTAAATCAACATATGCAAATCAAACACGTCAACACAATCGTAAAATCACAATCACAAGAAACTGATGAGAAAAAGCGAACGTGCCCAGATAATGGTTTTCATTAGCATGATTAGACCCTTATTTCTTTCAACGCTCTGCAGGCCTTCAGATAAATCACTGTGTTGCAACCAGCTCACATTCTTAAATAATGCCAGTGTTTACACACCAACACACTAGCTGTGGCATATGACATTTGCAAAAAGATGCGTACACCTTTCATCGTGACTCTACTACGGCGTGGGTGTAATTATGGTAGTTGTTACTATGGCTATTGTTTGTGTTTTATTTTCACCAGCTCTTATGAGCTCGGCAGGTTTCTACTGCCACATTTCAGTCCCAGCTGTTGTGTTTACCTGTAGTTTACAAAGAAATATTGTTTTTTTTTTTAAATTAAAGCTACGTTCACTCAAGTCAAAGTCTCGCCACGATCAAATCAATGAGGATCGAGGGTGGCGCTGTTCGTCAATGAGAGCCCTTGGCCCATCTTAGGAAATTCCACATTCCTACGGCAGGGGACAATCGTCCATTGGAACGACCCACTGATGACTCTGCTCGTAGCGGAACCGGTTTCAACGAGTCCAGAGCGACTATGGGGCCGAGTCGACCGCTGGCTAAGATTCTGACTCTGAAACAAGGACGACAACCTGATCCACGTGACTCGACGTTTAGACTCGTGGTGGATGATTGTTTTTACATATTAGAACGTGAACAACAGAATATGCTGAGTTGACTATGGCGGTTAGCTGTGAATACGTGTTACAGGTGCGTGCCTGTTCTGTCCCAGTCAGATCTTGGAAGGTTAAACGGGTTGAGCATAGTGCTTGGATGGGCTACCACGCTGCATGGGTAGGTTGTTCTGGGCTGCTGTGGGGATACTTGGTGGTCAACAGAAGGCAGTAGAGTGTTATTGTGCTGTACTTCCACGTCTATGCGCCACACCTTCACTACTTGGTGAAAGGTGATACAGTAACTGCCGTGTGCAATGGTCGAGGCAGTTCGGAGGGGGTGGGGTTAATAAATGGCTGGGCTTACATGCACGTGAGCGTTGAGTGATACGCGCGTTTGCACGTACGTACGAGCGCTCCGTGACTGACCACCTCTTTAACCCTCTGCTTTCAGGCAGGAGACGAAGCTGTGGTCGCCGAACGTTCAGGACGAGGAGGGCAGAGTGCATCCGTTCAAAGTGAACCTGGAGGCCGAGCAACAGGTACGGGCCGGGAGGAGTTACCGGTTGCTTTGTTGCGGCGGTGATTTTATTTACGTATTTACATTGCGACGGTGCAGCGAATTCATGTCGAACGAGTACAAACATGGTCATTTACGAAATAAATATTTTAAAGAGGTGAAAAGGGTCCCAAAGAAACACAGAGGAGAAGCGTGCTTGTATTTACACTGAGAGACTGTGACTTGGGAGAACGTACGCAGGTTTAACGGCTTGATTCAAACAGTAAAGAAAAGTGGGTGTGCTTGGGGCCGGGGCTCATCGCTGGAAGGGATGATGGCCATTGGTCAGGAATAATGATGGAGTGGCAGGCAAGGAACGGAACACGTCTGAGACTACGTCCATTGGCAAGATGGAGCGATGAAATGCAATCTTGATTTGAAGCTTTCGTGACTGCAGGAATCCATACTCTTTGGTTCTTTCGGGAAAAGTCACGTAGGTAGAAATACAATAAAATTAAACAAGTCACGACGTTTCGATCGCAACACAAGCGGTCGTCATCAGGCAACCGCTTGTGTTGCGATCGACACGTTGTGATTTTTTTCCATTTGATTTTATTTCTCACTACGTGACTTTAACGAAAGAATCAAAGACGATGAAATCAGTTCAAATGCAGGTGGTGCGAGGTGGCAGTGGCTTGGGGAGGCCTTAAAATAGCTTGATCATGGCTGATGATGAACACATGAATTAATGATGCTTATGTATGTATGTTGAACTTCTTTCGCACCGTATGTAGCCAACCGTGCTAATCGGAGGTGCTTAAATGTATGTAGCGGCACATGCCAGAATGTTAAAATGCTCAGGGCGCACCTCCTGCATTAAATAAAAGCTGGGTTGATGAGCTGTGCCGTCATCTTGTTTACAGAGTTGTCCTGGTGACGGAATAAGGAGGTCACATTCCATTTCAGATTTGAATTACAATTGTCCCATAGAAAGAGGAGGATTAAAGCCAACAATAATGCAGCTTATTGCAACAACAAAAAAAGCTTACAAACATGGGGCTTTTATACATATATTGCTGTACCTGGCAATTCCAAAGCTGTTACTAATGTTTTTTTATTTCACCACAAATAAAGAATGATAGCATCTCATTTTGCTTGAGCATTTGCCGAGTGATTTACCCCCCCAGTGCGCTGTGGAATTTAACGGTGTCGGGATGCCCTTTAGTTTCGCACACAAAAAAAACGTGGCCACAGTTAAATACGCCTTTGACGAGCCCTCTGTGTCCCAAGAGGGCACGTGTAGAATACTAAACGAAATGCACTCAGAGAAGCCGACCCTTCCAACAGCAAGGCCTGCCACACGAGGAAAAGAGAGCCCTCACATGGTCTCGTAAGATTATTCAAGTGAATTGTGCGAAACGTATATTAACTTCATATTTCGACCCAAATGCTCAGAGAGCTCGTGTACGTCTGTATCGATATAATTATTTATCGTCAGCCATGCTATATCCACTGCAAGATTTAGGCCTCCCTAAATGTGGATATCAGGCCTGGATAAGTCCTTAGTGATACAAGGATCCTTCGATCTCACATGTTTGAAGGCAATAGTGTGTGTGTGTCAAGGAAATATTGGATGTGCTCAACATATTTAAGGGCGTCCCATCTGCTCAAAACTCATTCTACCCCCCGTAGTAGGATCCTTTGTGGAGTATTGGCGATCCAGAATACATAAAAGCCAAGTCGGCACATTTTGGCTGTGATTTACCCCAAAAACACTTAGGGCATCGTGCTGTGCAGAATGTCCCACATCTCCTCGTCAGGGGTGTTTATTTTTTGGGCTTGTCAAACTGCCTCCTGTAACTCAGCCTCCAGCTGTTTGGCAAATACAGGGCCTCATTTAGCCTGGATGTGGTGCAGTAAACGAAAACACAAGCCCTCCCAACATTTTTTTCGAGTTTCCATCTTAGCATTTCACGGCATTACGATGCAGTGCCATATCACATTGTGTAAATTACTAATGCAGAGTTCTACGTACGCTGAATTGTGTGTGGGTATACGTCATGCAGTCGTTAGTGCACGATACTACGAACCCCCCGACGACCCGAGTTTGATTCCCGTTCACGGCCAACGTCGACGGCGAATATCTGAACCGGTCGTAGGCCTTCCCTAGGTTGACTCTGCCTTAAGTTATTATCTGGTGTAGTTTGTAAAAAAACACCAGAGACGGGGGAGATAAAGGCGGGCGAATATTGTTGTGGCCACACGGCTCTCCTCGTGCGCTGGGTTAACTGTCATCGATTCTCGCTAAGAGCACTTGCCCCAACAGCCCGCGCAAGCTATACGGGGGTTCTTTGTCTTTACATATAGTGCATTTAATTCGGTGGGAAAATGTTCCCGATTAAATTGAATCATCTGTGTTTAACAGTTACTACTGCTGGGATATGTATGGCATGTACGTTATATATGTCTATACACACAGAAGAGCTATAAAGTATTTAAAAGTGTAGTTTGTTTTTGCATTAAGATCAACACTGCAGAGATGTATGAGTGCTGAGGATCATTGTATTATCGCTGTTTAATACATCCTCCTCGCAGCTCTAAAGTTGTCCTCATAAATGCCACGTGTTTCCAGTGCTTGTGCAATGGTTAGCAGCAGCAGCAGCAGCACGCTGGACTTGCAATTCAGAGGCCGCCGGTTCGACTCCATCGCTGCGGGTGAAATACCGGGAGCAAAGTTTCTTACAATCCCCTCACCACCTCTGTTCACCCCAGGCATCGTGAAACGGGCTCACCACCGTTAGTCGATCGGCAGGCCCTGTGTTGGTGGTGTTAATGCCTGGGCGCACCCACCCCCCCCCCCCTTCCCGACGCGTCCGGTCAGCAAGGAAGAGGAGACGATACGCCCCCTGGAGCTCCGTCTAGTCAAGGCTCCCTCCGCCAGCGAGTGGTGCGAGCGGGCAATTTCAGGGCTGCACCCTTGCTCAATTGCTCCCCGAAGTACGTCAGCAGGAACCTTGCACAAAGCGCGCTCTTCTCGGCGCCCCGCTTTGAGAACTGTGTAACCGACACAACGGCACCGCCGCATACTTTTAATTGTGTCCGACCCATCGCAAAGGTGTTGACACGGTATTCTAATCCGCCTTGTTCTTCCCGCTCGATGGATCTTGCGCCAAACACATAATTTCGTCTGGCAGGTGTGGAGGTGTACACCTGTGATTTTACCTGCAGCTTGCTGAGGGTGACGTTCACTCATAAGCTGCTCCAGCGATTGATCTCCACGTTGTTTGTCAGAACTTTAAAAAAAAAGTTACTTTTTTCAGGGGGGATGAATGTAAACAAATGGATGATACCAGTTTGCTACAGGTGTAACAGTTTGCTCCCTGCTGCGAAGGTTTTTTTGCGGTTCTGCCGTACAGCACTCAAGCGTGGTGTTGTTTGGCTTGATGTCCGACGTTTCGATCCACGTGCCGGTAGCTTCTCTTGAAATTTGAGCGTCACTTCTGAAGAAGCCCCGAGCGCTTGGAGCAAATCGTTGGACATCGCGTGCCGAACAATAACAACAACAGCGACAATGATAACGACGACGACAACGCGGTTCGACCCGAAAACAACATCTGAGAGCTGTTCCCTCCCTTGCGATTAAAATTACATTTGTGATTTGGGGTAGCATTTCAATTCACGAACCGATCCTCTCCTTAACAATGTGGTGAATGCAAGCGGCCTCGAGTGGCTGGAGGGAGTCGTGTGAAAAAAGGTTACCTGTACATCTTTGAATCAACAAACAGTGCATCTTGAGCACACAATTAATTCCGTACACGTGTTGTGAGCTTGGGGGTCTATTGGTGGCACAGTGGTTAGAACACTGCCCGATGAACCTGGAAAGCTGAGCTTAATTCCTGGGCACAGCCAGCACCAGTGGCAAGTGATTTCTCTTCCAGTCTCAGACCTCTCCTTCACTAAACCCCCCTAACCAAAGTGGCTTGGGAAGACCATCATCCAGTAGTGGATTGACAGAGAGCTGTAAAGTATTTAAAATCTTAGCGAGCTTAGGAATGGCTCTTAATCGCTGTACCAATGCATTAATGCACTGCTAAAGTGTGGTGTCCGTGGTGTGGTCCTTTTGAACTGGTTCCGAGCAGCACAGAAGCTGTCTTGTTTTTTTACAATCGGATCAGACTCTGTCACTTTCACAGGATTGGCCAAGTGGCTCAGCGGGTTCATAATTCACCAATTCGCGCCACTGAGCCAGGACCGATGAGATCCTGGGCTGCCACCTGTGCTGATAGGAAGTTCTCAAGAGTAGTGCGTATGTATTTTGAAGTTCTTTCACACCGTAGGTAGCCATCCAAACAAAGTGCGTGTGATAGCTTGAGTCCACTCGATATAAATTTGGTTTATTATTTTATTTGGCCCATGTTTTTTGTTTGTTGCTGTGCACAGGACTCAAAGGCCCAAAGGCCCAAAGTGCCGAGCCACCGGCAAGGGGACAGCGCTAAGCAGCAACAGAACACAACTGTCAGTTAAACTTTCCTGAAGAGGGGGAAAAAATATATACAATCGGTGGCATTTCGGGAAATGTTCCTGTTTCATTGCACAGAAGTATCGACACCAGAGAGACGGAGTGAGTGATAGACTGCTTCATATAGGCTATATATAGAAATGAACAGTTTTAAACTGGCACACGAATAGTTACCCATTTGCCCACCTCCGATTATCACGGTTGGCTCTGGACGTTGCCAAAGGAGTTCAGCATACGTAAGTACACAACGCACGTAAACGAGCTGGCTTCATGCGTCAACGTGCCAGAACATTGACACGCGATGAAGAGGGAGGGGGAGCAAGGCAGAGGGCCGTCCAGGCAGCTTTGTGTTCCGCGTGAGGTGGACAGGTAACAACAGGCAGAGCGAACACAAAAGTCCCTTTCTTCACCTTCACGGGAAGTCAGCCCGAGTGAGGATGTGCACTGGCGAGACCCGGCCTGCCTGAATTTTGTCCGCGCACGCATTTGACAACTGCAAGGGGCGGGCGGGCGGGCGGGCGGGC